GCTGCTGCTGCTGCTGCTGCTGCTGCTGCTGCTTCTGCTACTACTACTACTACTACTACTACTTCTACACCAACAACAACAACAAGAACTACTACTACTACTACTACTACTACTACTACTTCTACTACAGCTGCTACTACTACTACTACTACTACTCCTACTGCTGCTACTACTGCTACTACAACTACTGCTACTACTGCTACTACTACTACTGCTACTACTGCTACTACTACTACTACTACTACTACTAGTGCTAGCACTAGTACTAGTACTAGTACGACTACGACTGCGACTGCTACTGCTTACTGTTTCTACGATGCTTACTGCTTTCTTGCAGCCTTTGTTGCCATTACCCACACAAGAAATAGCTGTACACAGCAGCAGTACAATGCGACTCATCGTGGACATCATAGCGAAAGACCTGACATCATGTACCAGCCGCAAAAGCCGTCGCCTCCGCCTCGGCTGGTGTGAATGCCGCCTTGGGACCGCTGGAGAGCTTGAAGTCGTGTTAAGAACTCGTGTGCTCCTCAAATCGCGGCGAGGCCGTGGCAGCAGCTGCACTCGAGGCTGCTGGTTCTGCTGTGCAGAAGCCGCCACGGGCCCAGCTGCAGAGTGTGGAACACCCCAAGCCTATGTCTAAGAGTACCTCTTGCGAGGTACATCTGTGAACTTCGAGAGACGAGGCACTCGCTGTGCCACTGCGGCTTTTGCAGAGCTGTCGTGCCCGAGGTGCATAAACTTGCTGCTGCTGCCGCTACGACGACTACGACCACGACTACGACTACAAGACGACGACCATCCCTGCCACCACTACCACTGCCATCACAACCACATGCAACCATAGATTAAAGTCTGCGACCACCACGGATTCAGAAGTGTACTGTCTAGCAAGCTCCTTTTGCCTAGACCGGCCCCATGCGACAATTTCAGAACAGACAGCATAGCATACACCCCGCGCCCTGAACTGCAGCCACGAGCTGAAAGGCGGACTGCTTCAAGTGACGATGCTCTTGCCGACATCGTGAGGCGACGGGACTGGCATTCGGTGTGCTGCCCTTAAGGGCTCGGTTGAAATGCAGGTGGACTGCCATATCTGGCCGAGATGATGGCATATTCGTGGGAGGGGAATTCAGCGGCAAAGGCACCGCTGCCTTGACCTGCCTGTGCTCGCTGCGCTACATGCGACCTCTGAGGGCATTCGGGTGACCTGAGGCCTGCATGTAGACCAGCGCCCGGAGAGCAACCTTGGCAAGCAGTGGCGAGGCTTGATGCTTGGCAGGTGCAAGAATAAGCTTCCTTCTGCAGCACGAACGTCGTCTACGAAAGTCTAAGTCGATGCGCGCTTGTGTCTTTTTGCGTCGAAGCGAAGGAAGCTCTTCGCCGCGTGGGATGTGGGCTCCGCTGGCCAGGCGGTGCTCGAGCGCTGCTACGGCGCGCGCCCCAGCGGGGCGGCTTTGGCCATCGGGAATTGCCGGCAGTTTCAGGGCCCTTGAAAAAAGAAAGAGGGACTCCCAGCTCGTGAACCTTCGGCCCGACCCGACGTCCTCGGTGAGGTCGTACTGTCGTAGCTTCATGCAATGGCCTTGATTCTGACTGGATCTCGGGCTCACGCATGCTCACGCCGTGAGTGTTCAGGCTCTCTCATAGCTTGGCAAAAGCCCTCAGTACCGGCTCCGGCTGGTCTTGACCTGGTGTCTGGCAGGTCACGCTGTTCAATAGCGCTGGCATAGCAGCTGTCAGTTTCTTTCAGCTCATGCGGGCGCACCTTGTGCAGGGTTGTCGATATACCAGATGATTGCAGATTGCAGGCGAGATCTTCTGCCCGCCTTTGTTGGCGAAGCATTGCGAGGCGTTGAAGAAGTGCACGCCGCATGGAAGCAGCCAGCCACTACCACTACCGCTTGCTACCCAACTGCCACTTCCTTGTGCAAAGGCAGCTGTTCCTCCTTCGACCTGGAGATATCTTCCTGTTCAACGGTTCCGTTGCCAGCAGAGAGCTGCGAGTGTAGGCGTCGCTTGGGGTCGTGCTTCGGCACACGAACAATTCCACACTGGTGACTTAATTCCAAGTCCTGAACTACCTTTCCCGGCACTTCCAGGTTCGATGCCGCACACAGCGCTTTGCATCGGCGAGTCTCTCAATGTGACCAGCTACGTGTCCTGGATCGAGCTGGTAGGAGACACGTGCGCCGGCAGGCAGTAGCAGACATAAGCAGACACTTGCGACTCAGGATGGCTTGCTAACGTGGCATCCTGGGCACATCGAGCAGTTCTTGCTGCTTGCTCGACGTTATAAGACCGTTAAGAGCCAAAGACAGTCGTGGTCCGGCTTTCAAGCAGTGATCGGCGGCAAAGCGAATAGACCCCCTCTGACCTTCGCCGACATCTCGCCCCCCGGTCTGGCAAAGGAAGACCGCCTCGAGCTTCAGCGGACCTTGGCGAGATGTTGGCCTCAGCTGGAAGGCGCGGCCTTCTCTTTGGATGATACGGATGTCCCGCCGCAACCGAGACTTGCAGAGACGTGTCGGAGGCTTTCCACTTGCCCCCTGTGGTCGTTGTGTGCACAACGCTTATAGAGACCTTTTTCTTGGCTGGAGAAGGTACTGTAGGCGCCTCTCCTACATGCATCAACACTCATACAGCGTACGGCATAATCCAATGGTGTGTTGCACTCGAAATGATTGTAACACAAGTCATGGGGGCTGAAACCTGTTTTACATTGAAGAGATGCCGAGATGCCACCCGGCTATTCCGCTATGCCTTGTCTGATTCAATGGGTACCATTTCATGCTTTATAGCTCCCTGCCGAGAAGGTTCATTCCTGTTGTTTATGCAAGCGACAGTGAGTACGATAGCAAGCGGGCTGTCAGGGGAGTCAGGGTTCGAACAAGCGAGGAGCTGCGCGAAGGAGGTACAGTTGAGAGACTCCGGTTTTGAATCCCGGGGCAGGGCTTCGAGATGCAGATGTAGCTTGTTGGTCGAGGGTTCAAACGCGTGCGCGGTCGACACTTGACCGCCGACGCGGCGCAAAACGATGGGCAAAGCCACATGAGATTGCTGGAGATTAGCAGCAGTGATTTTCGACAGGGGACCAAGAGGAGAAGGCGGAGGACCACGATGATGATGATGATGATGATGATGGTGATGATGATGATGATGATGATGGTGATCAAATGGCGAAGGTGATAATGATGGAGGCAATGTCACTCGCACGAACAGGGTCGACGACGATCCCAGGCGACTACGTAGATAGTAAATGCAGAAATAAAGCCGGTGACAGGTCCTTGGACACAAGGATCGATGCAGGAGCTTCCAAGCACCACTTCTGCTAAGCCGCTAAGCTGTCTGAATCAGCTCTGCAAGTTGCCGTTGCGAGTCTCAGACACAGGCCGCATGTGCTTGCAGGTGGAGCTCCTGAGTGCCTGGAAGGCCACTACCGGTAGTGCAAGGATGCAGCCACCGTACCTTTTGCGGTGCTGCTCCTGGTTGGACCGTCTAGTCAGACCTCGTCCTTGTCCTAGCCTTCCGGGCCTTCCGCTGTCCAACTCTGCGACATCCACGCCCGTGACATGAGCTTGGCAACACGCCAGGAGGCATGGAAGCACAGCCAGGAGGCATGGGGGAGGCTTTTAGTTCATTTTTCGAGCTTGAGGTCCCAAGTTGCCAAGGCCAAGGCTAAGACGTGCAAATTTGTCGCCGTTTGACATGTGCAGCTTGATGCAGCTTGGAGTCTGGGAGTCTGGGAATGGAAGAAATTCCAAGCATGTCCGAGTTGCACACAATGCGATCGAATCGCTGACGTTCCGGCGCAGGGCTCGCCGCCTGCCGAGCTGCCTTCCTTGCTCGAGGAGGCATGGCATCCCAGTCACGATCGCTAGACATGGGGCCGGATCTACCGACCGAAGATTGGACTTTGCCGACACCAAACGAAGCATGCGTGGAGCATTTGGCTTTGCTGAGCTTTGATACCCCGTCCTGCCATGCAGGCTGCGCGACTCTTGAGCAGCGATAGCGATGGCTTCTGTGAAGAGCTCACAGGCCTGGTGACAAAGGGCAGTCCTTCCACAACTTCAGCACTGTCGGCTAGGTTAGCTTCAGGCCGTGCGTGTGAGTTCAACCTTACGTGATTAGAGCCGTCGTTGAGCAATTCTGGTGCCATGCATCTCAGGCTGCTTGAGATAGGCTTGTGCGAAGATGTACACTTGGAATGAATTTCCGAAGACTATGGGCTGCAAGGTGCTGATGAGCTGCCTCTTCAGCCTGATGAGGCACGAGCGGCATTTTTCATTAGCCAAGGGCAGACATTGCGAATGGGCTCGCGGCAGTCCCGGGGCTGCTCAGGGCGTGGTTAAAATCGCAGGATGGCCTATCGCTAAGCCCTCACCTCTACCCACTCTGGAAGAAAACTTGAGATCAAAAACTGCCGCCGAGCCGGCCTGCCTTTCGGCCTCTCTCGCTCCCGTCCTGGGCTGGGCTGGACCCGAGAGAGAGAGAGAGAGAGTAGCGAAAGCCAGTCAGAGAACTTTCCCCCGACTTTGCCCTCAGGAGCCTCTGGTGGCCGCCAAGCGACGCAAAACTGCGGAGGGTTCAAAGATGGCGAGGGCTGCGTGTCTTCTGCTGCTGTCGATGAACGAAGGGGCTTAGCGTGGAGGGCACATGTGACAGGGTGGAAGACGAATCGGAACGTCTTTGGAACCACATCATCTCCATTTCCTTGCCCTGGCAGTTTTGCCGATTTGATGTTCGGCGACTTCTTCGACCGGAATGAGAAGCCGTTCGAAGCTTGGGTGTTTCCTGTGCATCGTCTCCTGAGTCGTCACAAGACCTGGTTCTCTCTAGTGGAAGGTGATGGACAGACTCCGTTAAGACTCGTCACGCTTTTTTTTCGGGGCAGAGATGATGCTTCTCAGGTACGTCCAAGCCACGGACCCCGTGAGGACGCAACTCACCTTCGAGGAAGCCTTGGAGGCGCAGCAGGGCGGGTCGCGCAAAGGGCGGGTCCGTTAGGCCTCAAGGGGCCTTTCTGGCAGGAATACAATGGCATGAATGCCAGCAAGATGAATGTGGTCTTCTTCAAGGACCCACGGCTGGGCTCGGCTCGGCTCGTCTCGGCGCTGAGCTAAGTTCGTTTTGGGCGCCACTCCGCCGCCTCGCCGCCGCCGCCAAAGACACCTGCTTAAAGTGACCGCCAGATCCCGTGCCGGAGGATGCTCAGGAACACCTTGCCCGTGCTGCGAGAATCATTCGCCAACCACGAGGTCAGACCGGGTGCACCTCGGGTTGGTCCTGCCAAGTCCCGGTAAGTCTCAAGCGGTGTGTTTCAGGCATGGGGTTGACTCTGTGCCTTCCATTCGCGGCCCATGCAGGCAACGCCCTGCTTGTGGGCGTCAGTGGCGTGGGCAGGAAGAGTCTGGCAAGAATGGCTGCGCACATGGCCGAGGCCGTTCGGGGGTCCGGGGCCAGAGCCGAGCTGACCAGAATCTTCTGAGCGCTCTCGGAGCTCGCCCCGTCCTCCTCCCCAATCGCCCAGTTCGCCTGCAGCTCCATCGAGATCACGCGCACCTACGGCCTGTAGCTCTGTGCGACGAGTGGGAGTGGCGACCTACGATCTGAGAATTCAACTTCTGCGCTCAGGTGTGAACGACTTCCGTGAAGACTTGAAGCGAATGATGATGGACGTGTGTTTGGGCAGGAAAAGGGACAGGACTGAAAAACATGTCGGTCTCAGAATGTACGGACCCACAGCATTAAATGGCATCGTAGCCCCACTCCGAGCATCACTGGCCCGAGAACAATCCGTCCCGTGCAACAGGGGTGGGCGGGTAGAAGGCCGCTCACAGACAGACAGATGGGGGCAGTTAGTGTTCGCAGTTTGCATGCCAGTTCTGCTTTCCGCTCATGTCCTGGTCTTGGGTCAACTCCCGCACTTGGGCCGGGGACGTTTGTTTGTTTGTTTGTGTGTGCGTTTGTGTGTGCATTTGTGTTTCTGATGCAGTCTACGGCTAGACGCATCGTAACAGCAGAGTACGTTTGAAGTCTTCAGCAGTGTAATGCGTCATTCCCATTGACTTCCTAGATCTGCCCAAGCCCCAAACAGTGTGGCCAACTGAGGTTGAAGAGCGAGGGGAAGGCCTCTTCAACCGCACACAGAACTGCTTTGGCCGGCACTTGGTTTGCGGCTGTCGCCATGCTAAACAGTCAAGTGCAGCATGCGCTACTGGTAGCACTCTCTGCCCGTTAGCTCTCCTAATCTGAAGCTCTGATTTTGAGTTCAGCAGATCGAGGGTTGGGCAGTGGGAATCTGGAAGTCCGAGCTACCAGGGCTTGGCTTTCCTCTTCTCGGACACGCAGATTGTCAAGGCCTCGCCACGCTGAGATGTTGACGGTAAGAACTGGGAGACTGGCCTAGACAAGGGAGAGTGCATTGCAAAATTGCAAAGTGGCAGTCTGCTGATATTGATGACATTCCGCCTGTTGTAAATCGATGTGGAGTCCTGCCCGACCAATCGCACACCCGAAAGTCAGATGCGACGACAATTCAAGAAAGACCTGTCGAAGGTGTTTGCGTACAATCGCCCTCCGTACTGCCTCGCGCAGAAACCTAGTTATGGCAGAGCTACAGTAGTCAAGCAAGTTCACCCGTAAACTAGCGGCATGCTCCTCATGACATCCACTGATTCCTGCGCCGCCGATGCAATCGAAAACAGAACAGCTCAAAACCGCTGTTGCCAACCATGTCATGTAATCAAAACGACCTTCTTCTTAAGCATTGCCAGCAGTACTTCACCGATGACGACAAGTCGCACGGCTGATGATGCCTCTGCGGCTCTTGCTGCTGCTGTTTCTGCTTCTGATGATGCTGCTTCTGATGATGTTGCTTCTGCTTCTGCTGCTGCCGCTGCTGCTGCTGCTGCTGCTGCTCCTGCACTGCTGTTTTTTCATCTACTCCCACCACGTCGACTGCGATGGTTATGACTACTGCTGCTGCAACTCCTACTACTGCGACGACAACGATTGTGAAGACGACCACAGCAACAACTGCTGCTACGACCACGACGACTGCTGCTTCTACTCCTACCACGACTGCTTTGACTACGACGACGACGATTACTACTGTAGTACTGCAATACCACAGCGGCTGCTGCTACGACTACTACTACTACTACTACTACTACTACGACTACTACTACTACTACTACTACTACTACTACTACTAGCGCCATTCTAAAGTTTAGAGGGGTTTCCGAATCTTGCAAGATTCGAGATCGTGTGCGTAAGTTGGGGCGAACATCGTCTTTGGGCACTTCGGGGTGACAAAAAGACTCGCGTTCCGTGGTCTCTGGCGAGCCGAAGCTTGTGCGCCTGCCTTTCTTTGGGGATTTGTGGGTTCTTGGCTGCATGGCTTCGACTGCAATGGGGCTTTTTTTCTGCCCGGAGTCGACGCTGGCATTCGTGTCGATGCAGAGCGAGCGAGTAGCGCGATGTCGTTGCTGCCGCCGTTGTCCTCCTTGTGCTTGCGCTCATCGTCGCTGCGTTCGTCGTCGACGCGATGTCGTTTTTGTTGTCACCAGTTGTCAGCCAGCTGTTCGTCAAAATCCGACAGCAGTCTAAGTTTCTCTTAGATGTAAAAGACGAAAGCCCTAAGGAGTGAATCCAGCAAGAACCTTTTACCCAAGACGAAAACACAAAGGAGTGAATCCAGCAAGAACCTTTTACCCAAGACGAACACCCTAAATGAATCTTGTGTGACGGTTCTGGGTTGGTGCTCAGTACAGCACAAGCATGGTGTTTCGGTGCTGAATACACCAGAAGAAGTTAATGCACCACAAAAAAGTAGTGGGCTGGTGCCAAACACACCCGAAAAGTATAACTAAGATGCCTGTTGTACAACCCTCCGCAGAGATTTGCTGCTTGGGGAGCCGGGATACGTTACAACTCAGTCATTTTGCTGAAAAAAGCTGGTAAGTTCGGTGTGATTGTAGTCGTAGCCGCCGTAGAGCCAGTGCATCAACGGAAAGTTAAGTGAGCTTACCATTGATGCACTGGCATGCTTTTGTCGCAGCTCTTACATGGTTTTCCACGTTTTAGTGACCACAGTGGCGGCACTTCAGTGACGACAGCATTTCTTCATGATGCTGACGATGTTGGGAACGAGGGCGATACATTTCTCGAGGTGCAAAGGGTGGAGCTTTTGCTGGGATGGCTGTTGACCAACGGTGTGTGCAGTTGAACCGGCTTTCGCAGCAGCAGGAGTCCTTCCTGGAGGACATCAACAATATTCTCAACACCGGCGAGGCGTCCGTGTATGCTCCGAAAGCTTCGTTCATTTCCTTATGAATACTGGGAGGGTTCTTAGACGGAGAATGTTATAGGTCTCGAGGCTTTCCGTGCCTGGCGCAGGTCCCGAACCTCTTCCAGGCTGATGAGCAGGAGCAGGCCTTTGCTGATTCAATGCTCGTAGCCAGCAGAGGCTGTTTTCGCTCCTCATCTTGAGGATGCTAGGAGTACCTGTTGCTTGGCCATCCTTTTCGAGGGGTTCGTCTTTCAGGGACAGATTCGGAGATGCTGTCAGGTGATTGGCCTCACGAGGCCCCTGGCCAAGGCAGCCGGGAAGGTCGACGCTCGCGATGTTCTCTGGCTTTGGCCCCGGTTGCTGCTCTTTGTCCCGGGCTTGCTGTAGCCCCAGTAGCCTGGCCGCAGCTGCAGGCAGCACTTCGTCCAGGTGGTTCGGGAGGGTTTCCACATCATTCTGGCGCCGGGAGCCGAGGGCGGCGTGACACCTTGAAGCGAAGCTGCTGCGAAGCTGCTCGGAGAAAGAGCGCCTGCCCCCCCCCCTCTTTCTCTTTCCCTTTTTGGCTTCTGCCCCACCCCCCCGCCCCGCCCCCCCCGTGAGCGCTCTATCTGTGGCCCCCGCCCGGCTCAAGGGCAGCAGGCGCTGCCTTTCGCCACGGACTGCTTTTCCCTCACTGAGCAGCCTTAGAGTCTTTGGGGGTCCCGGTGTCCCCTGAAAGTTGCGCAGCCCGATTTGACACTAAGCAGGCCCAATGCAGGCCCCTAAATTCTGATTCCTGCAGTCGCTCAAGTACCGACGGATGCACTTTGGGCAAGCAGGCTATCATAATCTGAGAGTGAGGGAGGCATAGCCACAGCAGGGGCCTCTTTAAAAATTCGGAGCCGCCGTCACTCCTTGCACCCTTCACCATGCTTCCGGCAGGCCGGACAGTGCAAAGTGATGTATTAAGGCATGATAGCTGCTGCAGTTCTAGCATACTGGCAGGCCTGATACTGGCTTGCTCGATTGTAGGAGCGTCACTCATGCATGAGGCGATGCTCATAACATGCAGTGCTCATCATGTTGTGGCGGGCAAACGCTGCATTGCGGGTACTTGTACAGCAAAAACCTGTGCTGCGGCAGGTCCCGACTCCATGGCTTTGCATCGACTCGTGCAAGCTTGGGCATCTGATCCAAGTCTCGGCACCGCAGCGGTCCAGAAGCAGCTCACCGGACATGAACCCCATGTTGTTCCGATTCCGATGTGTGTTTTTTTTGAATGCCTTCAAAAAAGGGAGGACGTAAATGGACTTTTAAACGGAGCCAAGAGCACCAAGAGCACCGAGGCTTGCAGAGGAGCCGGGCCTGGCGGAAGCGCTGCTCGCCCAAAGAAACTGATGTCCGAGCACGGCTCGCACGGCTCCCAGCTGCGCAGTTCCGTGCTCCGGAGGTTGGCCATGCGTGTCCGTGGTGTGGAAGTGCACTCTTTCCACGCCAACACCCTCATCGGCTCTTTGCGGCTGGTCTGCAGCTGTGTCAGCTGTGTCAGCTTGTTGGAGGTTCGGAGTTCTCTGCACGAGTGAGATCTGAGGAAGAGGGCTGGGCACTGGCAGCGTGCTTGCCGCCTTCTTTTTCAAATGCCCCATGCCAGCACTTTGCAAAGCCCCTCGTGTTACAAGTATGGAGACGAGAGAAACCGTCTTGCCACCTCCAGGCCTGAGCTGCAGCTGCTGCAAGCACCTCGGCAATGCATCGACTTCACAGCTGGCTCAGTAGGCCGCCATGGAAGCGGAATTGCGAGGTGAGAACACCGTGCCCCCCGCCCCCCCCCCCGTCGGCGAAAAGAGCTGAAGACCAGGAGGGTATGCCACGAGTCCAGGAGGCAGAGGTTGTGGAGAAGCCCAGGAGGTCAAAGGAATTGCAGGAGGCCGAGCGGCGTAGGCAAGAGATGGAGGTAGGGCGGGGGGTCGAAGCAGAAGCATGGGTCCTTCGAGAGCTGCGTAATGGCAGGAACAACAAACCCATAAAGCTGGAGGGCGAAAAGGCTGAAGCAGTGCAAATTATGCCGATGGAGATCCCCAAGCAGTGAAAGACCACAACTGAGTACTGCCGCGTTTCGCGAGCAGCCGGGACGTCAGCGAAACGGGAGACGCGAGCATCCCTTGTAAATAACGTGACGCAGGGATCCGATGTGCAGCATCTGCTGTAAACAATACTCGTAGGATGCAGGGAGCTCCTTTTCCAGGTGCACCGCAGGTTCACAGCAATCTAATCTAGTCTTTACACTGAACCGAAAAACATCAGTCATCGCCGACGTGATGTGCCGCATGACCGGGAGCGGTCTTGACAGAAACTCACCTCAAGAAATGCCATCCGGACGCTCTGTCGAGTTTGGAATCTTGAGTGCCCCACGGACGCTAGAAGACTTAAAGAAGCCGCTGAAGCTCTATAATAACGTCTCTCGGCTTGATTCACTGAAGCATTGCGGAAAAGCAGCTGGATGTCTCCTCGGGTTTTGCGTGCTCCGCAGCTGGAAAATTGAAAGATCTTCGAGGGGAATAAAATCAAAGACATACACAGCTGCCCGGGGCCGGCCGTCAGCTCTTGTGGGCCTAGAACTAGAACCGCAGCTGGCCCCTTGTTTTGCCTGGTCCCGTCGCCTCCCGGCCTCGAGGACCAAGTCTCCTTCAACTCCGCGCTTGGGGCGCCCGAGGCTCAGACTCACCATCGCTGACGCCGCGTCTCCTCCTTCACCTCCTTCACGCTTTTCACAACTTGAACACCTATAACCTATAAAGTGAACTGAACTCTGCGCAAGGGTCCGGGACCCACGCGGAATTCGATGCCTGGTGTTCTGTGTTCCCGGCACCGAGATGCGCGGCCGCGACGCAGTGGCAGCAGGTCTTGGCGATGTTGGCGCCCTTCGGCTCAACACGCTGCTTGTAGCGGCGGGGGCCTGGTGAAGACCCGAAGCGGTATCAGTTTTTGCACAGCACGTGGCGAAACAGGCTTCTGTGATGATGCGCCCGAGGCTGATGTCTCCCTCCTCCGTGACTCCAGACTTGAACCTCGGATCATCTTGGCATCTGATGTTGCGATATGTTGCGATGAGAGATCGGGCCAGGTTGAGACTGTTTCACGCACGTGCCTGTGCATCGTTTCACATGAGAGTCCTGGAACATGAAAGTCAATCCTAGGCCGATCATCACCTGACCTTCGCGTTTGTTCTATGTTGTTCCCACAGAACTCGAGGATCTCCGTCAATGTCGCGATGAACGCCTGTGGCAAGGCTTCTTTGTGGACGTTGTCGCTGGATCTTTTTGGCCAGCTCTGCGGTGCAGGCTTGACACCGCTGCTAGGTCGGAATGACGCTGTGAGATTTTGGGTTTTGGGCAAGTCTGCTTACTTGCACTCAACACACCAAATATTACGACGGTTGGCAGACTGCCTTTGCAGAGTCTTTGTGAGTTTGATCTCTGAGGAACAAGATCAGCTATGGAACTGTCATCTCTGCATGCGAGCAGCTCGGCAGTGAAGGGTCAGAGAGTCCAATCCTGATTCTGCTTGTTTCTTTTACTTCAGCGGCCACAGCCGCAGCGAGGAAGGGCAGCCAATGGGACCTGGCTCTGTCGCTTCTCAACGAGATGCCACGTCAGAGCCTTTGCTGCATATCACACAGACGAGAAGCCTCCACAAAGAGGTGTTTGGAAGAAGCCTCTGCTAAAGTACTCTTGTGCCGCGAGTTCTCAGGAAGCTGACTGCAGATGTGGTTGCCTTCAATTCTGCCATCAGCGGCTGTGAGAAGGCCTCGTCCCCTCGGCTGCACTATCACAAACAGCATGAAGAGAGTGAGCGGCTGCCTTCAATTAGTATGCTCAGGTTGTGGCAACAATGTCTGGCGATGTCGCTTGTCCACGAGATTCGGATGGGTTTTTGTTTTAAGTTCTCAGGGCACATAAAAGCTCATCTCTGTGGATGAAGCGTGCGCATGTTAGGTTGGTGCAGATGCCCGAGCAGCGGCTTTCCCCTACGTGTGTTAGCTTCAGCGCAGTCCCTCGGCTCTCTGGGCTTTAGGTCCTCGGCGTTGCATTTGGGGGCCGGGTGGGCCATGGCTTTAGGTTATCAGCGCTTGTGGCCGCGGAGCCTTCTGGGAGGCGGCCTCCTGACAGCAAAACAAGGCAGCCTTTTTTGCGTGGGCGCTTTAAACCACCTCTTGTTTGCCAAGGCCTGCCATCTGCTGGCTTTGATGCGTGACATGTCGGAAGCTCCGAATGCCGCTGGGCCGCAGCACGTGGGCTTCTTCTCGGGCTCCCGGAATGTGGAATGTGAAGAGGCCTGGCTCGGCAGGTAACCAATGGGAGCTCTCAAATTCTGTCACTTAGCCTTAGCGGTAGCCTGGTTCCACATCAGCTTCTGGGCCGGAGGTTGTAACCTACAATGCTGCCATCAGTGCCTGTGAACGAGCCCGTCGCTGGCAAACAGCGATGACGCTGGGTGGCACAAGAGATCCCGAAGCATTTTCTGCGGTCATCGATCCTCTTTCATGTGGCTCTCATGTAGACATTGCAAGACGAAAGCAGCGGTACTCTTAGTGAGCATATGAGGAGCATGTGAGAGCACCTTCCCGCAACACCTGGAAGCCTTGTCTCTTTGCAGGATGCTCTTGCAAGAAGCATCAGATGCTGCCGTGCCGCCAGACGTTGTGGGCCCCATGTCTTGAAACTGGCTTATGCTTATATGACTTGAACGGGTGATTCGACTTGTCAGTCAACACTTGCGGTAGACATCAGGATCGGTGACTCGTGACGATCTGTACATAAACGTAAAACGGAATAGTGAAATCTCATGAAGCACCGCGGCACACGACACCAGCAATCCATAAGCTCCTCAGATTCGCCCACCCGCGGCTCTCTGCATATCCTCGATTCACTTGGATCGGAAACTTTAAATGTGCTGATGCCGCGGTATGAATTTAGATATCCAGGGCTACGATTTTCTGTTTTGGGAGCGCGGGACTTTTTTTTGCCCGTTTTGGTACCATTCCTTGTGATTGTGGAAGACGTCAAGTCAAACACATAGCTCTGGAAATTCCCTAGAACAGAACCATAGCTGCGTGCCTTTCAAAGGAGTCAAGGCTTTCCTGCCAAAAGTTGGTTTCCAACCAAAGGCGGAAGCTTGCTTGCTTTGTTTGGATCCGTCATTGTACATTGGGGCGTATTGGTATATGTTATGTATCACCTGTTAAAGGTTATAAATGATACAATGATATACGATGTGATTTATTGTACCTTATAACTGTCGTGTGTATTGCATGTCTTGTCGTTTTACATGTTATTCTAGTGCGATGTGTTCAATGTGAATAGTTTATACGATATCGTAGGACTGGTTGATGATACATGATATGGTTATATGCGATTGTATGTTATATGTCATACATTATTATATATGCTAAGGCTATATGCGTTATGATTCTAGATCATACATTCTCGGTCGCATATGATGGTGTATCATATGTGTTTTATTTAAGTTACCTGAACCTACGGTGTACTAAATTACTTTTTGTATTTTCAACCATATAGCATATATTTTCTGGTGTACACATAAATATATATATATATTCATCCGTACAGCGCATACATATTGTGTGTAAAGTATACTGAGTTACTGTAGTCTAGTATGTATTCTGTATTGGAGATCGATGGATATTGCATATTAATATTATATGCTGTTTAATATGTGTTGTATATGATACGTACTATATTGTAACCTGAGTATGCGCTTGTGTGTATATATATGTATGTATACACATAAACGTGTGTATATATATATATATGCATGTGTATACATATATATATATATGTATATACACATACATATATGTATGTATGTATGTATGTATGTATGTATGTATGTCTGCATGCATGTATGCATGCATGGATGGATGGATGGAAGGATGGAGGTATGTATGCATATATACATACATGTATATATACATATATACACATACATAGAGCAAGTTGCCTCCCCCCACGAAAGAATATGACAGAAAGTGGAGCAAGGCTTCAGTGCTGCCATCAGTGCTTGCGGTGTGTGCTCGGAGTGGCAATGGGGCTTGGAGACGCTTGGATTTGGGCATAGCCTAAGGTGAGAAGCAGAAAGGAACGGGCTGGGCGATCTGGGCGGGTCTGGGCTGAGCCTGTCCCAGGTTGCTGCATGACATGGGAGCGCGTCTTTGCTGCAGATGTGTCGTTTCAGTCCTATGACTCTGTGAAGTCTGGGAGAGCAAACTATGCAAAAGCCGTAGCATCAGCAGCTGGGTCAAGCAGGAGCTCAGCAGCCTGAAGCAGTGGAATCGCAGCATCCGATCGATCACCGCACACTTTGTTCGATCATGGCAAGTAAGGCGCGCGATTCCCCCCGACAGGATCGCCTTCGACGCTGCGATCAGCGCTTCTGCTCTGGGTGCCTTTGCCAGGAGATCGGAGGACGGCTTGGCTTCAGAAGAAGACGGCTTGGCTTCAGTGGCGTCAAAATGTCGGGCGACTTTTTTGAGGCGATACCCGCACGCCTGCCTAGGTGTCCAATGGGAGTCGGGCCTGGCACTGCTGGCATCAATGGGAAGCCGTGAGATCTGCAGCTGGCTGCAATTCAGTGAGCCAGAAAGAACCCTCGAATCCAAAAGCCCAAACCTCCGCAGGGTGCATGTCTATGAAAATGGCAGGAAGACATGAAAGGCCGTGGCGTCTTTGTTCCCCATGTTCTTCCGGTGCATCTCATGTCAGCTACCTCGAGTTGCTTCAGTCTGGTCCTCCCCAGTCTCAGTCGACTGCATTCCATCGTGCGACATTCACCGGCTACGCGTTGCATCTCCTACTGCGAAGTGGGCATGCATAACTGCAGAAAATGGTTGCTGTCGCACGGGAGCGGTGAAAGAAGTCTGCCCCTATCCGGACTCAGTAGCGTGCCTGAGATGGTGTCTGGAAGCATCCAAGCAGGGCTTCTGGCTCCATTGCAGAACACTTGAACGCCCTGTGGGATCAGGGAGTCCAAGTACTTAGACTCGCTTTTCTGGGGGCTCATGCTGTGCTCCACCAGTGACACTGAGGTCCGGACGAAGTTAGTTTCAATGCCGCCATGAGCTGCTGCGTCGCTTGATCTCTCAGATCTTCGGAGACTGTAGTAGCAGGAAATTCAGGTTCGGAGCTGGAGTAGCGGGCTTCTTTCTAGAGCCAGACGTCACAAATTTGTCGACAGACCACACGGTGTGGCACGTCTAGTGGAGTTTCAATCGCAGCTGCTGAGTGGAGAACTTCTAAGAATCTCTACCTTTCTAGGATAATTATGCAAGATGACAAGCCACAGGAATGCTTGGAGTTCGCACGTCGAAGACAGCGCGTCACGACGCACTGACAGCGCATCTCGAATGTGGAGCCGTCCTGTGACCTCCTGCATTCCCGTCTGACAGCCGAGGAACGCTCTGGCCGATGGATGGAGGCTGCCGGGGGTTAAGGGATTTCAGATTCACTCGATGCAACTGCAACGAGGCCATTTCATTGTTCGCTTTGATCACAGAGCTTCAGCCACGAGCCTCGGCAGAGACCCGGCGTAGGGAGGGGAATGCGGTATGCAGATGTGTGTGTGTGTGTGACAGATCTGGCACCGCATTGTAGTGTCTTGCTCCCCAAGATGTGAGGTGTTGCCGGCAGTCAACCCAAAGATTGAAATTCTGTGTCCAATCCTACTTGGCCTAATCCCGGAATTGCACAGCCCGAAGACGTGGAGATTGTGAAGGGCCAAAGCCACGAATGGTGCACCGATTCATCCAAGGCCCAGACGCCGTGTCCGTGGGCCTCGTTTGCAGCGCTGTTGCCGCAGCTCCCTGGCCACTGGCTTCGGCACTCTTGGGAGCCTCCGCATGCAATGGTCCGCGCAGCGACACCCTTCCCTAAAAAAACGAAGGACGAGGCTGATGATGAGGTGGGACTAGGAGCGAGGAGGGTGAGACGAAGTAGCTGCAGGAGCCACCCTACAATATGGACCAGCGCGGAGCTGCAGGAGGGAGAGGCCGGAGGCGGCGGAGGCAGTTTTTGGAGGAGCTTAAAGGCTCAAGGAAAGATGTGGCAAAATCCGCCCTGCAACAGCAGTAATAGTGGCAGCAGTTTCTCGCCTGGCACGCCGCGCCATGCTTGTGCTGACGCATACTCGGCAGAAGATGCGTAGATAGTGGCACGTAGTCGAGTTCATGGCTGGTTGTGGCAGTAGCTATAGTGGTCAGAGTCATAGCAGCAGCACGAGTAGCAGCAGCAGTAACAGCAGTAGCAGCAGGAGGAGGAGTAGGAGTAGGAGTAGGAGTAGGAGTAGGAGTAGTAGGAGTAGTAGGAGTAGTGGGAGTAGTAGTAGTAGTAGTAGTAGTAGTAGTAGTAGGAGTAGTAGGAGTAGTAGGAGTAGTAGCAGCAGCAGCAGCAGCAGCAGCAGCAGCAGCAGCAGCAGGAGCAGGAGTAGGAGTAGTAGTAGTAGTAGTAGTAGTAGTAGTAGTAGTAGAAGTAGAAGTAGAAGTAGAAGTAGAAGTAGAAGTATAGAAGTAGAAGTAGAAGTAGAAGTAG